CCCCAAAACCCCAAAACCCCAAAACCCCAAAACCCCAGTGTGCTAGAATAGGATTGTAATCTGAAATAATATTAAAACAAGTATTAAACATGGATCCTGTGTATCAAATTCCTGACGACTCAGATGACAGGAGAGCTCAGCAATCAATCTCTAATAAAGAGAGATCTAAAGCTTTCAGAAAAAGAAAGAAAAAATATTTAGAAGACAAGATCAAACAAGTGGATTCTTTGAAAAAGGAAGTAGAATCACTTCAGAAAGAAAATTCAGAGCTAAAAATCAAAATTCAACACTTAAAAGCCCACACCTTCAAGAGCATTGAGTCAGATACTGCTCCTGATCACAAATGTGACCATAAGAGAAAGATTCCAACCTCTTTACAAGAGCAAGAAAATTACCTCTACAATACAGTCTCTAAGAAGCTCAAGAATAACCCAGATGAAGTTAGGTTTTCCACTCTTGAACAAGCTTACGAGCCTGTCTATGATTGGAGGTAATCTTGATCTCTCAAATATAGTGAACAAAGAGCACGACTCATTAAAAAGCTATTCCAAGGTACTACGAATGCTAATAAATAGATATCCTTGACAACATACTCGGCTTGCAATCCAAATGATTCCATTCTGCTGTTAAAGAATTCCCATTGTATAGATTTATGAAGAAGCAGCGTAAATAAAAAGAGACAGAAGAAGTATTTTGATAAGTCAAAAGAGCCCCAAATCCCTCAAGATCTTGATATGAAGATACATTACAGTGACAAATTTCTAGAAATGGTAAATGAAAATAGTAAACCTTTCAATACATATGTAAAAGAGGTCAGGAAAGTGTAAGTCCCTTTTTCTGAAATCTAGAGCCCAAACTCTAATAATCCAAAGAAATAAATTACTGAATCTTTACCAATACTTCAAAGAAGCAATGGATAAAACTCAATTTCTATCCTGGTATACCAAAGCCGATTACAGCAACACATTCAAACTAGTAAACTACCTCCAGGATACCAAATTCGTCCAACCCCATTTCCTCTACGACATCCCCAAAAAGACCCACTCAAACTCAAAATACGAAGGAGGTGAACTCACAGAGTAATTTCTAAAATTTCCACCCCTAAATATCCACCTGGGGTTTTGGGGTTTTGGGGTTTTGGGGTTTTGGGG